CGAAGTTGTTGCTTTGTGAGAGATGTTATTAAAAATTCCGCTGCGTAGATGTTGATTTATTTGATTAAAGATGCTATGTTGATGGTTCATCCGATGTTTGAAAAAGTGTTATATATCCATGATGAATTCAATCAATTTTGTTAGAAGAATTTGTGATATCCCGATTCATTTGTATGATTGAAATTTTATAACTCTGATTTATTTTGCCTAATTGCTTGGGGTAGAATTGGGGTGTTACAAAATTGGTATCAGAGAAGGTCGGTCCGTCCAACCAAGTTATCTAATGTCATTTATTCCTTAGTGCACGACAAGTGTGTGAAACACTGTCGGTGCTTGTTGTTTTTCTAATCGAGTTATATGTAGGAAGTTGGTTGAAGATAAGTGGGGGAGAAGCTTTACTTATCAGATATGTTCAATTGAAAGGTGTTGGTTCGGTGTGCTGCCAACGACGACAATGCAATAATTGTTGGAGTCTTGTGTTCCCGAATTTGAAGGTGACTTGGATTCAAGGTCTTGTTGTTAGTCGAGTTAGAGCGTCTTGAGAGAAATTGATCAGAGATTGTTGGTGCTTACTTCTCGAAGAATGAAGAGTGATATAATATTTTTTAATTTATGAAGCAAGTGTAAGATGTCAATGTTTGAACAATGATGGAGTAATAAAGTTGCTGTAAATTTTGTGTTGGGATCACATAAGTGATTGTCGGAAGTAGTTAACATTGATAAGTAGTTGTGAATCGCGAGTCTGAGTCGAAACTTGAAGAAGTGAGTAGCGTTGCGAAATGAATTGTTGTCCTGGTGTTTTGGAACCTGAACTTTGGCGAATGAATGCATCTCTCGAGTTATAAGAAGTTTAGGAGCATGAGATATGTTAAGAGTTGTTTGGAATATGTCTAAGTTGAAGACAAATGAGTTTCAGAGTGGAATTTCCGTAAGTGAATCGCAGGAAACTACCGAATTATTGTGGGAATTCGAAAATTCATAACTAGAGTTTCGGGTATCCGATTTGAGTTCCGTTTGAAGCGTTGAAAAGCTAAAGTAATGAGCTTCATTTTAAAAATGGTTCCAGTATTTGTAATAGATTCATTTATCACGTGATGATATTGGAAGTAAGTGCAGTTTGTTGTTAAGCCTGTCTTTGGGACTAGACTTGTTCTTCAGTGTTGTACGGGACGTCAGCATCCGAGTTGGGTGAATTAAAGGAGCAATTGGAAGATTTATTTAAAGTAATTTGTGAAATCAAAGGTATCATTTGGAAAGATTTTGTGTTATTAATTAGAATGAAAGAAGATAGTGCGAAGTTGTGTGGAATTTACGGTGTCGAAAAGGAGGAAGATTTATGCTAAGTTGTCAGGACGTATGTTATAGTTTTGTGAGAAGAGTTCTCTTGAGTAATTTTATTTCCAAGTGAAAGTTTATATATATCCATTCAAGGTGGATGCAGTTCTAAGTTGGAGAACGACGAAGTCTGTTATAGAGGTCAATAGCTTGTTGAGCTTAGATGATTACTATCGTAGTTGTTTGAGGTGTAAATATATATATGAAATGTTGTTAGATAAGATGATAATGTTGAGAGTGCGATTGGAATGAGTTTGAGAGGTGGAGATACATGTATTTTTGATGTTGTGAAATTCAGAAGAGGATTAAGAGTTTAAGAATGTTATTAGAATCCTTTATGTAGATAAAGACTCAGACTAGAGTGAAAGGATTTGTAATGTATTGATATACCAACAGATCTCGAGTTAGAAAATGATTGATCATCGTGGGATGGTGGGTGAATGAGGATTAGACATGTCATGTTTTAGAAAACTTGAATACGATTTTTAAGGAAACGCTATTATAGTTTGGTACGACGATTTATACTCCCTTATGGTTGTCGAATACTAATTGACAAATTGAGGAACTGATCACCCTCAATCCATTGTTAATAGTAGACGAGATTGTATTGCATGTTATAGATTTGTCTTGCTATCTTAATGGTGAATAGAGTTGTTGATATTTTGTTGATAGTTGACATACATATACGTATGAGAATAAAGTTGTATACGCGCTTTGGTGTTGGGAAAGTTATTAAGAGGTGACATGGTATATCCAAGTATAAGTGAGTTATGGTTGTTACATTTCTACTGTGAAAGTTTTTATGTCAAAAAGTAGTGGCCAAAGTGTTGGTAAACGCGGAGTTTGAGGATTAGAGAGTTGGATACGAGGTTCACGTTAAGGATGGGAGTATCGAGTAGATTTTCGAGGACGAAAATATCTTAAGTGGGGGAGAGTTGTAACGCCCCGATAATTTAATTAATTATTTAATTAAAATCATTAGTTGGAGTTGAGAAATGTTGTGAATTATTGTTAAGTTGCTCTTTGACATTATTTGATTAAATGGTGGTTTAATAATATTAAATATATTGGAGCATTATAAGATTAATTGTTGGGCTTATTTAAGTGATGTCATGTAGTAAATAGGGGAGTGTGGATATTGGCCCAATAAGAATTACTAGAATTACAAGGTTAATTGGATATAAAAGGAATTAGGTTAATTGAGAAAAGTGGAGAAATAATATTAGAGATATAATATTATGTGGTGAAATAATATTAGAAGTGTAATATTATTTAATGTGGGCTTATTTTGAAGGAAAAGAAGTAATAAGGGAGTGTATTGGTTTTAAGCCCAATAAGGAATAATAGAATAATAGGGTTATTTTATTATTTGTTAGAAGGAATAGAAAGAAGGAAGCAGTAGAAAGAAATAAGGATTTAGAAGAGAACGTGCAAGCTGCTAGAGAAAGTGGAAAACGACAAGAACGTGAATCCAACCGGAAATTGTAGAGCGACCTTCAATCCAAGGTAAGGGTGGGGTTCTGACTCTATAATTGGGTTTATGATTATTGGTATGTCGGGTTAGTGGTGATTGTTGTCTTGCTCTTGAACTGAAAATATATGATTGTTGTGTGATGAGAATCGATGAATTTTTGGATGAACAATGATGTCTTGATGTTGTTTAATTGCTGTAGAATTTTAAGGTAATTATGGGTGATGAATTGTCATGATTAGATTAAATTTTAGGGCTTTAGGTATGAATCCCGTAGCGAGATGCAGTGATGAAAAACACAGAAAGTAGCAGTTCTGTTGTTAGAAGTATGTTGTTAGAAGTTACGTCATATTAGCAAAAAGTAGAAGTTCTGTTGTTAGAATTATGTTGTTAGAAGTTGCGTTGGATTATTAGAAAGTAGAAGTTGTTTTATTAGAAGTTGTGTTGTTAGAAGTTGTGCTGTTAGAAGTTGTGTTGTTATAAGTTGTGTTGTTAGAAGTTGTGCTGTCAGAAGTTGTGCTGTCAGAAGTTGTGCTGTCAGAAGTTGTGTTGTCAGAAGTTGTGATGTCAGAACTTGTGCTGTCAAAAGTTGTGCTGTCAGAAGTTGTGCTATCAGAAGTTGTACTGTCAAAAGTTGTACTGTCAGAAGTTGTACTGTCAGAAGTTGTGCTGTCAGAAGTTGTGTTGTCAGAAGTTGTGTTGTCAGAAGTTGTGCTGTCAGAAGTTATGCTGTCAGAAGTTGTGTTGTCAGAAGTTGTGCTGTCAGAAGTTGTACTGTTAGAAGTTGTGTTGTTAGAAGTTGTGCTGTCAGAAGTTGTGATGTTAGAAGTTATGCTGTTAGAAGTTGTGATGTTAGAAGTTGTGCTATTAGAAGTTGTGTTGTTAGAAGTTGTGCTGTTAGAAGTTGTGCTGTTAGAAGCTGTGTTATTAGAAGTTGTGTTGGTTAGAGGTTGTGATGTTAGAGGTTATGCTGGTCAGAAGTTGTGTTGGCCTTTATGCTGTTTTGTGCAGAATGTGGAAGTTAGATGCTTAGAGGCTACTGTTTGAACTATAACAGTAGGATGGTGTCGGTCTTGACGTTAGAGTTGCAGAATGATAGTGTTGATTTACTGTGAAAATTAAAATACTGCTGAGTTGTTAATGAGAAGTTATTAATAATATTGTGTTGATGATTTATAATAAATAAACGATGTTTGATAAATTATTTTGATGATCTGAGATGTTGATTATTTGAGATGTTTTTGAGATGTTATTTTGAGATGTTTTTGAGATGATTATTTGAGATGTTTTTGAGATGATTATTTGAGATGTTTTTGAGATGATTATTTGAGATGTTTTTGGAGATGATTATTTGAGACGTTTTGAGATGATTTGAGATGTTGTTAACTTGGGTGTTGTTATTACATTCATGGTTGTGTCGCATACATTGCATTTTTTTGAGATGGAGCTTTTGCTCGTTGAGATGACCTGGATTGGAAAATTTTGAGATGAAGGCTATGCCTTGTTGATGCCTCTATTAATTGGCAAATTTTTGAGATGGGAGTTCTGCTCCAATGGTACCACATACATTTGCATAGTATTTAGTCGCATTATATGATTTCATAAAGAAGTGTATTTTGATGTTGGTGAATGTATATTATTATTGAGATTGTCGTTGATTATTAGATGAGAAGTGGTGATATTGTTGATCTAATTTAATATATTAATTATCATTTGCTTTATTATATTGTTAGATATCTCACCTCTTCTGTTTGAATGTTGCCCTTATGTTGGTAACGTGCAGGTAATCGAGAGTGAAGGTTGTATACCTTCAGTAGTTCGATTCGGTGTCATTACTCTGATATGTAACACTCGGGAGGATGAACGTTTGCTGATTTTTTATTATTGATTTTCGTTTGTTGAATTTTAAATTGATTATTATTAAATATGAGATGTTTCGAAGTTGCTGCTTTGTGAGAGATGTTATTAAGAATTCCACTGCGTAGATGTTGATTTATTTGATTAAAGATGCTATGTTGATGGTTCATCTGATGTTTGAAAAAGTGTTATATATCTACGATGAATGCAATGAATTTTGTTAGAAGAATTTATGACGTTCCGATTCATTTGTATAATTGGGGTGTTACAGCAAGATCCCGGTAAAACATAAATACAACAATACGACACGCAGGCCGAAACAAAACAAAACTGGCAATCATCCCTCGACCTCTTCTTCGATGATGATCGATAGCTGAGCAGGACCCTCGGTAGACTGAGCAACAAACTCTCTGAGATAATCAAGGACCAGAATCTTACCGCCAGCCACATAATAATTGACCCTCATTCCTGAAACATTGAGTTCAACCCCGGGGTTTAACACCTGCATCTGCTTCACCGTATTTTCGAAACTCCCCTTGGAGGAAGCCTGGGCATCATCCACTGCCAATTGAAAACAGGCAACAAGCTCGGCCCGAGTCTTTAAATATTTTGTGTCCGCCGACTTGTCTTCAACGGGGGTGACCTCAACAGTCAATATCTCCACCTTCTCCTCAAGAGCTTTCTTCTCGAGCAAAAGGATCCTATGTTCCTCGGAAACTCTCCCTGATTCCTTCTTAGAGAGCCTCTGGGCCTTTTCCTCTTCGAGAACTTTCTTCTCGCTCGCGGCCAGCTTGGCCCAAAGGTTCTTCAACTCTGCCTCCTGCGAAGAATTCCCATCGGTATATGCAACAACCATTTCAAGTATCCTCGTCAAACCGCCGACATTTTGCACCAGCATCGCCCTCTTCTCCGAGAGGTCCAATCCCTCGAGGTGGAGGGATTCAGCCTGAGGAAGACGGAGAGCCGCACCCTCGAAGAAATTTTTCTCCAACCACCAAGGAGGCAGGTCGTACGTCCCTTTCCCCCTATCTCCGGTGAAATCGACGCTTCCCTCGGCACGCGGTCGCTTGGCTTTCGAGGACACGAGACCAGGAGAAAGAGCGACCGTAGCCCGGCCCGAGGACGAATCGTCCGATCCTGAAGTAGGGGCAGACCCCGAGCCAGTCTGGTCATCTTTCAGAGCCTTCCTCGCCCTGGCAGCGAGGGTCCTGGTTATGCGCTCCTGAGCAGGATTCATGCTATCTGCAAAACAAACAAAGAGAACACAGTTAGCAAACAAGGACTCATAAAAGTGACGACCGCATATAACTACTCAAAACATAAAATACCCAAGTATTTGATGGAGTCCTCGCTCTCGAGGAGCTCCTTGATGATTATCAGGTCAGACTCGTATACAGCCTCCCCGTTCTTGTCGATCACTGACTTACCTCCCCGACCCACTTGCTGGACACGAGGATTTGGGCAACGAATGAGTTTAGGACTGCGAAGCTCTCATGGTCCTCAAAATCAAGCACCCCCTCCCTCCAAACATAAGAGCCCAACTTGTTATCAAAATGTTTCCTCGTCCACTGGAACGGGAACTTATATACCAGTTTGACCATAGGGTCTCCCAGCTCGTTAAAACGGGGAGTGCCATCCTCGTTATATGCTGGTACGGTCTTGAAGACATTCAACATCGCCTTGCTCGATGAAGGTGTTGGATTAAAATATCCAGCGTCAACCTTAGGGATTCGAAAGGGCTTAATATCCCACCCATGGGCGCTTAGTAAACTAGGTGCAGCCCCTGAAAATGCTCGTACTATATGAAAATAAAGTTACACCTTGGCTACAAGAAATTGCTTTTAGCTCAGTGGTAAGCACTTGATCCTACAAGTGGTATCAGAGCATGGTCATGGATTTGAATCCCCCCGGCTGACACTGGGGGGAGGGGGGAGATTATTGGATTAAAATATCCAGCGTCAACCTTAGAGATTCGAAAGGGCTTAACATCCCACCCATGGGCGCTTAGTAAACTAGGTGCAGCCCCTGAAAATGCTCGTACTATATGGAAATAAAGTTGCACCTTGGCTACAAGAAATTGCTTTTAGCTCAGTGGTAAGCGCTTGATCCTACAGAAGGCTGCACCAATATATATTTATCTTTGAAGTGACGGACTGACTCCAGGTAAGCTTTGAACAACTTCCCATTGCCCTGCTTCAAAGAAACTCATCCCCACTTATCGTTAATCTTGCTCCTCTAGAGATGGAAGCAGTAGAAGAACAAGGGAATAGTAGCCCATATCTTCAAGTAATCACAAACAATCTCGAACTCTCACATGAACGCAATGTTGTTCGGGTGTAACTGAGAAGGATCCAGGCGCAAATGCCTAAAAACGGACACCTCGAAATCCGAGAAAGGGAGCCGAAGACCCATCTCCTGAAACACGATGTCATACATGGGAATTCGCCTTCTGTCGTATCTCGAGCAAATCCTGCTCTCTTTCCCAGGAATATATAACGACCACTCTCCATGGTCTCCTTCCTTGTGGGTGTACACCTTGGTGAAAACATCATCTCAATGCTCGAAGAAATAAGAAGGCCAGTCCCAAGGATCTTTCACGACCCAAGCCCGCAGATCCTCCTCGTCATCCCCGGGGGGAAACAAACAACCTTGATCAACACGGGCCATCTCCGCATCACCTCCCTCCGCTTGTTGCTCGGGAAAATTCGATTCATCCCAGGAAACTTCCAAAATGCTCGACGAGCTACTTGTCTCATCTTTAGAACTTCATGAAGATCTAGAAGACTCACTCGAAAGATTAACTCGGGCATCGTCAGCCATAGTACCTGAAAAGAAGAGGATGAAGATGAGTTCAACATCAATTCCAGAACCACCCTTTCACCGCTAAATCAAGTGAAAGGACGCTGATAAACGAGGATCGTGTCCTCGACCATAACCCTCACTAAGGCACACAGAAATTCGAGGAAGAGACCTAAATCCCAAAGAGATCATCTACGACACATCATTAATGTCTGGGAAGGATCCTCGGCGGCTCCGACGATTCTAAACTACAGAACCACTGTCTTCCACTAACACTCCCCAGAAACGTCCAAACAAACAGGATCCTAAACCCTAACTGCATGCATTTCTACGAAATAAATCATGGTAATCTGAACTGAAGAAGCCAAATGACAACGAAAGATCAAAATCTTACCAGTTAAAGGAAAAGGAAAGTTGGAAATAGCAGCAACGAACAACAAATCTCAAAGAAACGACGGTGGTCAACAAGCAAGCGATTACGAGCAGTTGAGAGAGAGAGAGAGAACGAAAAACACTAAACTCCCTACTCCTCTCGTATTTATAGATGAGGCCATTCTCGCGTGTAAGACACACGCCAGGGAAACCCTAGAGTCGTCATTATTATACCCTAGTCTCTAGGCCATCATTGCGCCGATTCGCCAGCACGCTGCCCAAAACACGTTATCTCTTCAAGTTCAGAGCTCCCAACGACCAACTACTCATCTCCCCGAGAGAAAGGCGCAACGAGCAACACTCGTTCTCCCCGCAAAGATACGCCCCGTTCCACGAGCAGGTGTTAAAGTCATTACTCATATGCCCATAAGCAAAGATTTGGGGGGCTACTGTTCTGGACTGGCCCGAAAGCCAAAGTGGTCCCAATCTGACCCCATCTTTCGGAATGCTCCGTACACCAATAGCTCGAATTCCCCCGCTCTCTGTCGGGCAAGATCGACCATTCGCCCTCCCGAACCGACACTGACATAAGATGATCGATGAACACCTCTCAGCCTGCCCGACCTCAACTCGTGCAGACAACCAGGAATCGACCAAATCACTGCCTGTAACCTACCTCATCCTCGGATCCAACGGCTAGTTACGAGCACACCTGTCTGGTATGACCAAGTCCTGGCAGTTACCTGTTTTTGCGGACCCGTATATCCAGACCCAAAAACAGGAACCAATGGCCATGCGCCAGAGACATTATATATACACTCACACATGTGAGGGCCAGGTATCGAATATTCACTATTCACCACTCATATCTTAACACTTTGCTTGTATCTCTTTGCTCCCACTCTTACTTGACCGTTGGAGTGCCTTGCAGGTACAACCTCCTTTTTCCTCCTCGACATCACTGCCCGATCGAAGATCATCATCCATCCACCTTACAGATTCTGATCAACCGGTAAAGATAATTTTTGAAATTATATTAATTTTTTAATTCTTTAAAAAAAATTATGTTAATCATTTTTATCTAATTAACGATAATTTTTTTAGAAATTAGTCGCTAAATTTAACACTAATTAATAAAAAAAAACTAATATAATATATTTTAAAGAGTTAAAAAATTAATATAAATATTTTTTAAATTAAAGATCTAAAATAAAAACTAAGGTTAATATATGAAACCGAGAAAGATATTAAATCATTTTTTTTTGAAATCTTGTCGGAAGTATACTAATAATTAATTGAGGAGATTAATTCTACCGTCCACTTGTAAAATTCTATTTAAAGTTGTAACAAAATTCTACATAAACTTGACCCAACAATATAATTGTAATTTAGTCTCTATTTGGTAAAACTAACTGGTAGCTGATAGTTGATAGTTGCTAATTGATAACTGATAGCTGATATCACATCATTTATAGTTAATGACTAATAATTGATAAGTTAACATGAGTGTTTGATAAATTAACTATTTCACTAGCTGATAAATATAAAACGACATAAAAAAATATTTTAATTAAAAATTGATGATTCATTATTTTATTATATTATATATTATTAAATTAATAATTATTTGATAAAAATAAATATATTAATAAAAATATGCAAAACAGTTTTAATATATAAAAAAATTAATGATAACATCAAACTATATTAAATTTGTATATAAATTTTATAATAAAATTTAACTGAAATATATGAAATAATAACATGAGAATTTTGAATTCAGTTATATTAAACTGAAAATAATAATAATAATAATAATAATAATAATAATAATAATAATAATAATAATAATAATAATAAGTTTATTGTCTAACATTTTACAATAAAAATATAATGATATTCTTGTTTTTTTTTTCGTTTTGTTTATCTCATTGATTCTCCTTTACTGTTTCACTAATTTGAGAATTATCAATATTACTTTAAAATTTATTATATAATTTAGATGTTACTTAAAAATATCAAATATTACATCATCTTTCGTCTTATAAGTTGACACGAATATATATATATATATATATATATATATATATATATATATATATATATATATATATATATATATATATATATATATATATATATATATATATATATATATATATATTTGTTAAAATAATAAAGATATAAATGGAAGAAAAAGTCACAAGTTAAAAGTTTCAAACTCAAAAGCTATTTCAAATAATTTTTGAAAAAAAATATAAAAACTAGTAAAAAAAGCTACAAACTAAAAATTAAATGACAGTTAGCAAAGAAATTTTGTCATTAATATTAACTGAAAAATTAAAAGTTAAAAGCTCTTTTTCGAATTTTATCAAACATATTTTTGACCCTATCAAAATATTAAAATCAATGTTTGAAAATTCAGACCGATCATCGATCCGATCAAGCTATTGGACCATTGAGTTAATGGTCGAATCAATGAATCACTGGTCGGACCCCATAAATTATAATAATGTGAAAATATAATTTGTTTTCTTTTGTAACATGATTTTTTTAAATTTTTTGTTAATTTAAAATATTATTATATAGTATAATTAACTTTTAATATTTTAAATTTCATTATATTATTATATAGTATGATTAAATAATAAATGAATTTAATGAGAATTGTATTGTTATGATTATAAAACATATAATTTTATTCTATTTAATCAAATTGAATATAAAAAAAAGTTTATGATTCAGTTGGTAAAACTACAATCTTAATAATTTTGAAATATTTTAAGTCTATTTCTTAAAATTTGACAAAATTTCATTTTTATAATTTTAATATTATTTAATAAATAATTAATATAATTAAAATATTAATAAAATCAAATTTTAAGACATAGCACTAAAACTTTAGAAAATGAAAATAAAGGACCAACATTATAATTCAACTATAAAATAAACATAAAAAAATTAATTCATCAATTTTACCGGATATTAATGTTGGTTGACATTTTTTATTAATTAAATACTAAAATATTATGTTAGACCTAAAGACCAATAATTCAATTCATTTTG